AGTATTTTTTGGAGTTACAAGGTAGATTGGAGGGGACTAGTTAAAAAAAACAAACCAATATCTAAGTTCTTTTTACTTCCTGCATCTAGGTTTACAATGGGAACATAGTATACTTTTAAGGGAACTCATTCCTGTAAACAATATAAATTTCTGCCAAGTAATTTTAAATAAGTCCTTGATTTTATTCATAAATATCTGATCTGAAGATTATATACTGAAGTGGCGATCCACCAATCATTTGACACTTAACATGACAATCTTCTTTTAATACTAGTTTTGCATTATGGAAATTAAAACTCTGCCATATGATAAAAGATTGCATTGATAATGTCAATGAAACTGAGTGTAATTTAGAGTTAAAATGATGTATTAAAATCTCAATAAGTTTATAAACCAAACAAACACTTTTGGTTCACCCTTTCCCCCCTAATTACTCATAATTAGGATAATAGAAAAAGAGTAGCTTACTTTGGCAAAGATGTACTCTACAGTAGTTCTATTTCCTCTAAATCAGTGGTTCCCAAACTTGGCAACTTTAAGACTTGTGGACTTCAAGTTGAAGTCCACAAGTCTTAAAGTTGCCAAGTTTGGGAACCACTGCTCTAAATCATAGGAAAGGCTGATTAAGGATATTACATTGACTAGGCACTACTAATATATTTTGTATTAATTTTGATTTGCTGCAATTATGATTAATTTTGATCAGATTTAATACCCTTTTTTATTTGGACCATTTTGTTGATGAACATACTTGTCTTAACTTGGACATTAATGTATAATAGAGATGGAGTCCTCAGGCATCTAAACATTCAACTAATTTTCAATTCAATAGAAAAAAAGTGGAATAAGCTTAAGAGTAATTTACTGAAGCATGTTAGATATTTTATCACCAGAGAATACTGTAACTCACAGAGCTATCAAACTTTTCTTTTTTAGCTTTTAATATGTCACTCAAGGTAGCATTTCTGAAGGGTTGCTATCCCTTTGATACATCATTCCCTATCCACAGAACTGTTCCTAAACAGGCCCCCAGCTCCGTCAATTTGACTGACTAGGCACTTGAAATATTTGCTAAAGAGTTACGGAGAAGTCATTCAAACTCATTGGGATTTTCAGACAGGAACCGTGTCTTCATATTCTTAGGTTAATCATTACCTAATTTTCTGATTATTGACTTGTTCCCTCATAGGGTTTTAACTTGCTTTGGCTTATCCACATTAATCAGTGAGGAACTGTCAAGCTATACACTCCTTTGCCAAATCAAAATTTTAAACTGTGGGAACATGGCATTTTCATTTTTAACTTTAGGACGCTACCTAATGTCAACTCCAGATTATGAATATAAGTCTCACAAGACATATAGAAAAGCATTTAATTCTGCTTTTATTCTGGGATGGAACAGGCTGTTCCTAGCAGCATATTAAGTAATCAATAGATGCTGCCACATAGCGTTATCTTGTTGTCAAGGTTTATAGCTGCTCAGAAAGCTACTGAATATTTTCTGGGCATATTGAAATAGGTGAATATTATTAACCGAAGTCAGAATAAAAGAAAGATTGTTTTGCTTGGGAGAAGCCAGGGCTGCGGACTCCTGCAGTGCAAGACTATGATTAGAAGTAAACTTAAGCAACAATTTGTGGGTTTGAATACCAAATGCAGTAATAAAATCAAATCCCAGGTATAATTTATGCTATGTATTCTTTGTATTTTAACTAGGCTAATAGGATAGAATTGGGTGATAAACTGGTAATTTTCTCTCCAAATTTAAACTTGTATCTGTAAGAATATGATTACAAATGTACATATGGCAAAGCAGGTTGTAGATAATGCCTCACATATTTCACGAAAGCCCCCTTAAACCAGAAACAAATATTATGCGACACTGCTTTCTTCACTGGTGTTTTTTCCTCCTCCTTTTCACTTTCCAGTTAGGTCTCTTCTCCAACTCCGCACCTACCAGTTGTTGTAGGATAGCAATTACCAGGCAAGCATGGGAATTCTAGGCCTTATTGTCCTACACAAAGTTCAACAGATATGAAGGACACCAAATGGGAGAAAGCTAATAGAGAAAGAAATGATTGTGATATTACTACATGAGGAAGTTCTCAGTCCTAGAAATGGCCCTCAGTGTAATGGAGGCATGGAGATTCATAGAATCTTTGCTAAATATAGGACAAGTAACACAATTTCTCAGATAAAAAGTTACAGTAGTTACAAAACAATTACCATTTTTTCATCATCATCATTATCTTTTGATTTTTTTTAAGAATCTTAGTACAATACCTGTACATGAGATGGTGGAAGTCCTCTTCTTATATAGACAGCAAAAAGTGCATCCTTCCCTAAAGAGATATTGAATTTCAGGAACTGTGGCTGCGCAATGTGAATTTGTGATCGCCAGAATACTCCTTGTGGCACTTCTTGAGTGATTCTCCGTCCGACCTCTGCCTCCCCACTGTCAATGCTATTGTTTCTAGTGGCCCATGGTCCTGGAAGACAAGAGCCAATAAAACCATAGGACAGTCAGAATCAAATAGATTTATGTTTAAGATGAAACTGGGTGGCAAACCTATATGTCAATGCAAAGTGCATAGTAGTTATTAAGACAACCTATGCTTTAAAAAGCAATAATGAAAGCAAACTGCTTCTAGTACAATTTTATCAATGTAAGAATGACAATCTTCTTAAAAAGCTATCAACTTGTTCCCTGGGGCATTTAAAATCTTGCATACAGCTTCTCTCCCATTTTTATTTCCATTGCTGCTCTTTACTGATCAAACATAATAAGAGCGGAGAGTCAGCTAAGCACATTAAAAGCTTCTTGCCCGCTTTTCACCATTCTAATATGAACAGAATATGAAAATAAATCCACAAGGGAAAGTAAAGGAATAATTTCAATGACTTGTATTCATCCTGAGTCAAATACCAAGCAAGTGTATAAGCAATCAAAATATAAAAAGAAATGAATACAGATGAAAGAAAATACACTTAAAGACAGTTACATTTTCTTCTACCAAATATTAAGAAACTAAATGTATTATTTATTATATTGGATTTATTATATTTTTCATATTTTTAGTTGAAATCTTTTGGCTAATAATGTTCCCTAGACAATGTCTTTGGCTGATGTATAGTAAAACTGTCATGAAACAATAATATAGAAACATTAAAACAAAAACAGAACATTTGATATATCACATTGAATTCTTAGATTTTTGCTTTGTGAAGGCCAAAAAGGACACCAATAATAACACATTCTTTTATGAATTTGTCTGTAACTTTTACTTTCTGCCAATCAGTTTAACTGCATGACGTGAATGTGCTGTGAGAAGAGTCATAAAGAATTATGAAACCTTGACATTAATACAAATTTGAGAAGGAAAAAAATGAATTATAGATTTTATAGATCTTAGGTTGCTCCTAAGCTGAAGAGCAACCATTCAATCTTGGATCAAATAAAGAAACTTACTTTGGGCATTGAGAGAAAGCAGAAGGCTTGGTAGGGTTCAAGAACTAGCAATGAAAGAAAACAGATCAGATGGATTGTGGGATCAAATAAATTACCTGACTGCCTTTGGACACACTACAAATTACTGTATTGTATACTGTCCCCAGGCATCCAACTCCAGGACACCTAAATAACATCTTGGATTACGTGAAGCTGTGCCTACCAATTGTTCAAGTGCACTGTGCATCTTATTTTCTAAACTTCCATAATCTCTTAACTAATGATCAGATGAAAATATCTAGCTATCATAAAAATTTAAGAGGAAGATCATTTATTGTGGAGGACTATACCAATATATTATATAAAGTATTATAGGGACAGCAATCAGGGCCCAAATACATTTTGTCTTTCTTATTCACACAAATACAATTCAGACACATTCCTGTTTGTTCTCCATTATTTTATTAGCTTGCACTCTCACCAAAGTCATCCCAATTCCTAAGACAGCAGCAGGCCAATCCGTTACTGCGATATACAAATATTTTATATATTTGTATGCCTTTCCTCTGGGACCAAGATGAAAGTAATGTGATCTTCTATTGGCCTCACGAATAATGTATGCCTTATAANCTTTGGTGAGAAGGTAACAGCATTCTGTGTGCCCTTGGCATACAGCCATTCTGACCATATAACCATGGAAATTGTCTTTGAACAACATTGGTTCCCTTGGGCAAAAAAAGGAGATGAGCACCATGTCCTAGATTTGGACACAACTGACAGGGAAACCTTTACCTTTATATATTTTGTAAGCAGTTTAGCATAAAAACTGCTTTGCTTTATTGCTAGGCTAAAACATAGGAAACATATCATTGTATGGCTAACCTAGAATGGTTAATTCTCAGTGGTAGTTACAATGCATGACACTATTTTTTTTAAAAAAAAACACGCCTAAGCTCTATATGTGAACTTTACATTAAAACTAGATACCCTCTAAGTAAACTCCAAACTCTCTTTCAACCTTATGTGCTTTTTTTGTATTTCTTCCTCAAATATTATACTATTGAATGCATTAGTTTATTGAACATAAAAAAAATCTTGCAATGTATCCGATGATAAGTGAAAATATTTTGAACTTTCAGTTGCTTTATTTATAATAGGGAAGGAGAATAACAACATCCAAAAGTAAGGATGAGCTGAATTTTTATCCCTTGAGGTGATTTATAAACTTTAGTGATTTGTCTTTATTGTTAAAGTAAACCAGCTACAGACAGAATTCAAGGTCTGATTTTGCTTCACCACCTGTCTGGCTGGCTCATTACTTTACATTTCTCTGTTCTATTCTATTGAACTTCTGATAAAATGTATTTCCTAATGAACTGTTTTTACAAAATGTTCTTGGTGAAAATGTCACTTTCCCCCTAAAGCCAGGCATAAATGGATAAAAGTGAAAGATGTGGACCACACAGTGATTTCATCTCTGAAATCAGAAACAAGCTGTATGCTCTATTGACATGGAGAATAGATCTTTGAATATATTGATAATCAGTTCTTACATCTTAAATTCAAAAAGAAAGTTTCTTTCAAATTTGGCTTGGGGAGGGTGACCTTATTTCATTTTTATTCAATTTCCTACAACTCTTCAGTAAAAGTATACCTATAGTCAAAAATCACATGCTAGAAACAAAAAAATAAAACTTCATAGGAAGCTGCTAGATGATGAAATTAGAGTTCAAAATTGATTTAATGAAGTTTCTTCCATTATTTTGGAAGGACTTTTTAAAACAAATCAATCTGTCTGTCTCTCCTCTTAAGATTTTAAGTGGTCTTTCCATAAAATTCCAAGTTTACTCCAAATTCAAAGTTATTTATAAATTGATAAAAGTTTTCAGTATATAATTCAACACTATGTAAACATTTTTAATGTGGTTACTGAGTTGTTAAACCTTAAAAGTGTTTGTGTCATTAGACTTCCTTTCATCTAGCTTGTAGCAATGCTCATGAAGGGAGCTGTGTGTGTGTTAGATAAGGTTATCATCTTTTCCAGAGGACATAAATATATCTAGTTACATTTCTCACTTGCTTTTATTTGATTATAAAAATATGTTAATACACCTGAGATATTAAAAAACTCAATTTCCCTTTATTTTACACCTTTGACTTGTTCCTAAAATGTATCTTGCTTCATTGGTGGTGGTAGGGGGAAGAGGATAAGAAGGGAAATAAGACAGAGTGAGTAATCAGTAACTACTTCTATGGCTGTTTATATCACTATATGTATTTAGAACTACTCATGAGCAGCTGCTCTTATCATAGAAGCAGGTACAATCAAACCTAGACTTCTCAAACTCTCAAACTGAAATTGTTTGCTCTATGCTTCTATTAAGGGATGAGTAATTCATCTATAAATTATTGGAGTTTGCATTTTCTTTGTTTATGTCTTCTTCATGCCACACTTAATAGGCTGTACTGCTAATTTGAGGAATTGGTGTCAAACAATAATGTATAAATGTGTGGAATGAGATGTAGCATTTTAAAATAATTCAGGTTACTAACAGGCATCTCAAACTTTTGAAGATGCAGTGAAATATATTTTACTTTGAGGTATTGTGAGTCCCAGGTAAACTTTTAAAATAAGAGGACAGATAAAATGTAAATTTTATTTTGTTTGTTGTTGTTGTTGCTTTCTTTGAAAGTATGTCACATCTCTAATGATTATAATTCTTATAATTCTCTTATAATTCTTGTTTTTGTTTAGTCAAGGCATGTATCACCTCGGTGCATATCCTATTTTCTCTTATGACAATACTCTTCATTCTTTTATGCAAAGATTCATAGAAACTTGTCTTTCTTTCTTCTGTCTAATGACAAACATACTGATTTAACTAGATAAATTTGCTCTGCTGTTAATGGAGGACAAGTTTAGTTTACCTATTTCCAGATGTGTCATACTACTTCTGTGGGAAGTAGGAATTTTACAATGTATAGTCCAGTATTTTTTGGAGTTACAAGGTAGATTGGAGGGGACTAGTTAAATTAAAAAACAACACAATATCTAAGTTCTTTTTATTTCCTGCATCTAGGTTTACAATGGGAACATAGTATACTTTTAAGGGAACTCATTCCTGTAAACAATATAAATTTCTGCCAAGTAATTTTAAATAAGTCCTTGATTTTATTCATAAATATCTGATCTGAAGATTATATACTGAAGTGGCGATCCACCAATCATTTGACACTTAACATGACAATCTTCTTTTAATACTAGTTTTGCATTATGGAAATTAAAACTCTGCCATATGATAAAAGATTGCATTGATAATGTCAATGAAACTGAGTGTAATTTAGAGTTAAAATGATGTATTAAAATCTCAATAAGTTTATAAACCAAACAAACACTTTTGGTTCACCCTTTCCCCCCTAATTACTCATAATTAGGATAATAGAAAAAGAGTAGCTTACTTTGGCAAAGATGTACTCTACAGTAGTTCTATTTCCTCTAAATCAGTGGTTCCCAAACTTGGCAACTTTAAGACTTGTGGACTTCAAGTTGAAGTCCACAAGTCTTAAAGTTGCCAAGTTTGGGAACCACTGCTCTAAATCATAGGAAAGGCTGATTAAGGATATTACATTGACTAGGCACTACTAATATATTTTGTATTAATTTTGATTTGCTGCAATTATGATTAATTTTGATCAGATTTAATACCCTTTTTTATTTGGACCATTTTGTTGATGAACATACTTGTCTTATCTTGGACATTATTGTATAATAGAGATGGAGTCCTCAGGCATCTAAACATTCAACTAATTTTCAATTCAATAGAAAAAAAGTGGAATAAGCTTAAGAGTAATTTACTGAAGCATGTTAGATATTTTATCACCAGAGAATACTGTAACTCACAGAGCTATCAAACTTTTCTTTTTTAGCTTTTAATATGTCACTCAAGGTAGCATTTCTGAAGGGTTGCTATCCCTTTGATACATCATTCCCTATCCACAGAACTGTTCCTAAACAGGCCCCCAGCTCCGTCAATTTGACTG